CAGAGAGAATCTCAGGATTGGCAGTTCCCTTTATATGGTATCCACCCCGTTCCCCATCACCAAGAGGGGAATGGGCAGAAGAGTGTCTGGACTCAGTCAATCCAAACATTCTCTCTCCGATTGTGGACAATGATATTGTTCATCCCATTGCTCCTAAATGTATTGAATTGGATCGTGCCGAGCCCGAAGGAACCTGCAGCTATTTAGATCGCTCCACTGGTGTGGACGAAAGACAGTCAAAACAGGAGTCTTGCACGGTGCCGATTCTGACACATATGCCAGCGGAATCTAAATGGCCAGAAAGAACGGAATTAATTGCTGTATTGGGTCCTAGCCGGAAACGTTTTCGCAGACGAGTGAAAATTTCATTACATCAGGGTCCGGCACCCAGTGAATCGGAATCTCATAGTTTGCTTGTTAGACTACGAATCGACCCGTTATCAGACAGTGAATCAGTGCGTCCCCAGTCGATGATTTACAATGAATCTCAAACACCGTCTAATTTGTCTCGCCAGAGCAACTCACGAATTTCTCTAGGTATAAAAACCCCTCACACTGCATTGCTTCGGTACGATTCTATTGAGCCGAGAAAAGTCACTTCATGGATTCCGATTAACTGCTGCATGCGCACCATGAATTCGGTTCAGGATGCACAACCGAACGAACGGGAACGATACACTGGAATCGCCGAGTGCCTGATCACCAGTCTTTCCTCACTGTCTATTCCAATGAGTGAGGTTGAGTCGATTGACACATCGTTTAGTTGGAGTCTACCTGAATCCGCTCAAACACGAGGTAGGGCAGACAAGAAATCATCCAGTTTACCGGAGACAGTCATTGTCGATGTACTCTCAGACGAGGATGCTCGTAAAACAGAACAAGCCAGTCAAACTGGTTCGGATAGTGGTATTTACTACGTTGGAATCACTGGATCGCGTTTTAAACATCAAACAACTGAAAACAGTTCACATAAGTCGCGGTTGATGAATACAAAGTCCCAAAAGCGCTCCTTGGAGATCAACACTAGTAAACCGGTATCAATAGGAACGCGTCAACTCAATACAGAATCTCGTTATCCGCGACATGCACGATGCTACGTGACACCGGCCACTACCAGAGATAAAAGTTGTTCACGAATAGTGTCCCCTTCATATGCACCATTACAGAAACGAGTAAGATCTACGTCCGGGTTGAGATCTAAACTCGGACTGAGCGAGTCCACAAAGAATACTCGTTTGGATGAACAGATAAATTATTTCTCGGATGCTCAATTCACATCATTTTCATTGGATCGGGATCGCGGTGACGCATTGGTGGATGTAGCAACCACCTCCTTGTCTGCACAACACATGAATGCCAAAATTTCCGAAAACTCTGACTCAAGTGGTTATCGAACCAAATTGTTAGATCCAACAAATGACGGCGGCATACAACAGCTAGGCGAGACAACTTTTATGAGCAGTGTCCCAATCAATCTGGACTCTTCACGAATCGAAGAATATCGTGCAGATATGTCGAAAAGTTCTGAAACGAGAAGCAAATCCCGCCCAGGTGTTCACACTACAACACCCGATTCAATCAAACAAACAGAAAGCGGTTCCCTCACTCGTGTGAGGAATATTCACATGCCTTCACATGGAATTGTTTGGCAATCAGTAAGACCGACTGCAAGTGTGTTGTCGAGAAACCCAGCAGCGGATCCTCATTCAGGTTTATCGAACGCTGATAAATTCCCATATTCAAATCGGTATAAATATAATCGTTTAGTGAAACCAACTCCTTCACAAATGATTGGATCAGATTTTCTTACCAGCACGACAGCTTTGCGCAAAAAGCCTCTTTTCAGGTCAGGTGAGATGACGATATCGGAATGTGAGGAAATGCGCACATGTGCAGACTTAGATATGCACCGTTCAAAATCCAAATATCGCGTGAATCTATCACACATGAAACCGTCGAATCGTATGGGTGGTCTAAGCTCGATCGCCAGTGAATTGGATGTGGATCCGATGGAACGTTTTGGAGTGAGTCAAAAGTCCAGCAAATTCACCTTCTGCATGCGTCGTCAATTATCACAAAACAGTCAATGGGATGCGTGGAATATACCAACACCGAATTCGTCCTGTGACAATTTGCAACCCCGACAGCATGAGAACGGACCGGCCCGTAGACGAGCACGTTTCGGTTTCTGTCTGAACCCCGGACAACAGACACCAGGTGCCGTGGTAAGCCACAAACTAGATGAGTTGGCTTCTAGCCGTTAACTTGCAACTCAGCCAAACTTTGTGCACGCATAAGGAAGGAAAAGAAACCACTCACCGGAACCTTGCCCATTTCGAACGGGCAGGGGTAGCTGAAGTTCCCGAACCATTCGTCTCGGGGTTCTTCTCTTGTCCGTTTTTTGTCCTTTTTTGCACTCGCATTTATGTTTTTTTGCTTTCTTAGCAAACTTTGCTCAAACTGGGGAAAAGACTGCCAAAAACATCCACCGAAATGACACATGAGAAAAAGTCCGAAAAAATGTAAATTATAGAATAGCATATAAATAAATAAATATGAGCTCCAGGTTCACTGCTTACTTTCCGATGCATTTCAGTTCTGTCATCGCTGTTATCATCTTCAGTGGTATCATTTCAATTCTTTATTTTTTTCTTTAACTTGATTACTGTATGCCATCCGGTTTTGTCATTCATTGTTCATCGATCGCATATCTTTTGTGGTCCTTTTCTACCAGGTGTTTAGTAAAAACAAGACGGACACGTGTCAGACTAAGATGATCTGATTTCTTTCCTCATCCTATACTAAACGGCTTTGAGGGAGAAGGAAAAAGAATTTACCAGTTAATTCAGAAGCGATCAGAAATGACGAACTCGGATAGTTAGAATAAGATTTTACCTCGTTTACGTTTTGTGTATCACCCAGAGTAGTCTCAACCACTTTTTGATGCAGTTGATTGTTTGGAATGTTCAAAAGGATAGAATTTTTCTGGATCAATCCAAACTGTAAGTATTTAAAGTTGTTCAGATGTGACATTCGCAATGCCCTTTTTGAGTTATGGTTGACTCACACGTAGGAAACTAAGCACACAATCGGTGAAAGGTATCATCGAAAATATGCCGCATACTCTCTATATCATATATCCTTGTATTCCCTTGTTTCCGTTGCAACTGAACAGTGATCTAGGAGTTATTTGGTTCGTGTAACTAAACCTTAACCCGAAGCTGTAATTTCATAACTGGATGAAATATATTCTATTCCCAATCATCACCTTTTTTATTTTTATTTTCATCCCACGGATTTGCTATCGCCATCCTTGTATTCATTCTGTGTTGACCCATGATTGGCCGGCTTATTGCAAGTGACGATCGGATCAGAAAGACACACGTCAGGACTCATGAACAACGAGTCCAATTTTGATGAGACACTGAGCAGTGATCCAGCCCCATTCGGTCAAATCACTCATAGCAATAGCAATAATCAAACCAATTCGATTATTCTACACCACAGATCATTCTACCAGCTGTGGAAAAGTCGAGCACGATTGCGTCGAGTATCGCATTTGTGTCGTGTGATATGTCCTTCCGAAACACCTGGTCTATCATTGGCACTAGATCAATCGACCCAGTGTTCACCACCCGCTCGTCAATCACCGATTCAACTGATCGTTTATCATTTTATCCCAATGGTGGCACAATCTCATACAGATTCAACCTTTCTAGCGGATACTAAACCAGTGATTTGCTCGTTCGAAAAAATTCATGCAGTCTGGTCAATTCGCAGAAGACGTATTTATCCGGCTGGTTTACGCACACAAACTGTATGTTGTGGATTGTATACCGGAGTACTGGAGCAAGAGAAGCTGCCCGTATATCATCAGATGAAACAGGTATCCATAGCCTACAACGAAACAATGCAATACTGTCAACCATTCGAACAACCAATCGCCGGCTTGTCTCAAAACCTCCCCACTAATCAATATATATTCGAGTCAGTCAGTGGTGCAGGATACGCTGATGCGGTACAGGTTGATCAGGTTTACTATGAACAAATCGCCTACGGTTTAATCACCGAGGACAGTCCATCGTTGTTGTGCATTGAATCAGGCGCTCAAACCGAAATTTCACATGATTCGTTCAATATTCTTACTCCAATCTATTCGCTATTTTCTGTGCATCCCCATCTTTCTAAACTTCCGAACTGGGGTTCAAATGCGATGACTGTTCATCGCATACAAGTGTATGTGATTACACGGTACAGTATTAGAGCGGACATTGTTCACATGCCAAAAACAAATTATGCACGATATGTGAAGCTGCCAATCGAACAAAGACGTCAGTGTATGAGCAGTTTAGTCGGGTTGGGACAATTCAGTCTACATTCTAAAAACCTCAAACGTGCTATGGAATTCATAAAACCTGCAAATATGCAGTGTAAACCTAAACAAACATTAAAACTGTTACGACAGTTCTTCAAATCTGTATTCAAGCCGAAAACAAGACACAGTGACACGCACTCTGTGAAACATCAATCCACGCCAGCTGTAAGTAAGCTCCAGTCCAGTGCATTGACTGATTCCCGTTACAATTTCAACTCAAATGTAACACGTGTGAAATATGGTGTAAGAACGTTACGCGATCCTTACGAAAACACGATTCCTCTATACCCTGTTCAAATTGGTCGAGCGTTTATCAGTCAAGTTTTATTTAACGATGACCAGGTGTATAACGATTTTCGAGCTACCACTCTGCTCCAAAATACACCGAATTCCCTTGAAATAGCAACTATGTCGGATTCAAAGATAATCCGCACAGAATGGTGGACACTTTATCAAGCTTATTCTGGCCATGATCCCTTCCGGGTTCAACGCGTCGGTCACGAACGGAATCCACAACTGTGCCGAATCGGTCGACCACAGACATCGGCAAATCATACTGTGGAACAACCCGGTTGGATCCGAAAGCGATGTGTTCGATCCCGGATTTCAAGTCGACATTATTCGTTAAACGAAAATGATGTTTGCTCTTTGGCAGGTTCAAAACTGGCACTAACTCAGCACTGTCATCAATATATGAAACCACTATTGAATGACTTTACAGAGGTGACAGTATTTCAATCCTCGCCATCCCTGTATTTGAGTGTTCATGAGGTAGATAATGAAGAGGAGCTCGAGTGGTGTAACAAAAGCCGAATCATGGAGACCAATCCGACGGATGTGACCCAAACTGAGCGTATACCGCCCAGTTCACAAATACAAACAAANAGTCACAAGGTGCACGCATGAAAGAAACGAGTCTGACAAAATCAGTCCAGAATCTTTTGGAGATTCAGAACAACTTTGTAGTCAGTTGCAGTCCACTGAGAATGGTTCTGTTTTCCTCGAGTCTTCTGTCGAGTTGACTGTATCTGTGTCAACCACAGTGACGGCCAGTACGAGTACAGAATCGATGGTCCAAACAGATAGTGAATCGGAAGATGCTCGAAGTGATGAAATGGACTCAACATCCCCAATATATTATGACTACCCTCAGACGAACAGTCCTAATCCGATTTCCTCTGATCATACAAATTTGGGGTCATATTACGAATGCACCAAGACCAAGTCGGAGGTAAACACAGCGCACGGGGTGGACACTTCACATATGCATGCGAATGACGTAAGTTCTTGTTGGGGGTTACCTGGTACTCATAATAATAATGCTTGCATTTTAGAACAAGCAATCATCACTGATATCCCTTTAACAAACAATTAACCTTGACTTCCGCCACCCTGTTAATGAAATATCTATAGTACAAGAGTGTGGTCGGGTAGGTAGGCCCAGCACGATTCATTTCTAAGCTTAGTTAGAGTGCAAACACACATAATTCGGCTAAAATAGCAACACTAATCCTCCACACCTCCACAATATTGCTGTGCAGTGAATAGTTGAGAGCACCCTAAACCCGGCCTCATTGATAGACCAAACGGGTAACCAAAGACAGAAATTTCAGCAGAACCTGACAGTAGAGGCCTCTTATTATGGAACTAATTTTCGGAACGTGTGCATCGAGAGAAATTAATGAAGTTTGGAGTTCAATAATATATATATATAGACATGTCATTAAGAACAATAGAACAATGAGCTATCGGTTTCGGTTGCGGGGGGGAGGCGGGTGAAGTCTTTTTGGTTCTTCACTGAATGTAATCTGGAACTTATTTTGTTCATTAACGATGGCTGACTGCAAACATATAAAACCACAAATGGACCACTAACTTTGATTCAGTGGCAGATGGCGAGGTGTTTACAGTTGCCTACATTCCTTGGGGCCTCCAACGGAAGTTCGGTTTGGACAAGTTATTCAACCCACTGCTTCACGTCACAGTTTGTCTATGTCGCTGCTTTTCCCATTCTGGTCAAAACTACGCAAACTAAGTGATGTACGGCATTAGTTGGACGGGTGCCCGTCAACTAAGACAGTGAAAATAAAATTATCTTGCTGAAGAGAAGAATATATGTCCCTAACACGCAACCGACAATACTGTTACTCACATGACGCTCCCATCACATGTGGGCAATGCTGCACAGACAACAGTTAATGAAAACATATGGTTGTTAGTCATGAACTGCTTGAATGGTCCAAGTTTCGCAGCCTTATGCCAGTAAAGCATGTACCGTTGTGCTGTGAGCTTTCAGTGGATAGTGTAGGGCGAACCGAAGAAAGAGATGTCACAAATTAGGAACTTCCTATGTTCGATTAATTAAGCATTGAGAAATTACATCACGTGCAACTCCGACAGCGGTTATGTAAAGCTTTCCGTGTAAAAGCTAAACAAAGATTTAGGTACGGGTACCTGTTAATCTCGTACTGGCAACGTGTACTCTGAAATGCACGCTGTATTCGGCATAATAGATGCACATTACACATGGATCAATTTGCTGCATTTTTACGAACATATGGAAAACATTATTTTTCGACACAATGCTGAGTATCGGAACGCCTACTGTTTACCTCAGCTATAGGAGTTCCTTAGCATATATTCGTTAGTCAGACGGCACCAGTGCACAACTTGATGCAGAATCAGGAACTAGTTGACCGCTTAATGAAATGGGAGCGGAAACGCTTGAAATTTAATATTGAAGAAATTCCTGGGCTAAATGTGGCGGGTTAATATGTAAGCATTTCCTCTTGATCCTATTGTGGTTTTCAAATGAATTAACCAAAAAACAACAGCAAAATAAGGACACCATTGTCCAGATTTCTTGACCACATGAATAGAAAACTATTGCTTATTCTGCTGTGAACAGGCGTGTGCTTTGCTGCGCCCGCATTCGGAAATGTTCTAAATCCGTGTGTGTGTGCATCGTACTGTAGGTTGGTAAAGGAGCGGTTCACATTGTCTCCCGTGGTGCAAAAAACCAGACCACGAACTGGATTTTACGAAACGTGGATACATCTATGTGGATCTCATTTTTTTCATTTTCACTTCCTTTTATTTCGTATGCAAAGATACAATTTTCAGGAAGAGGGAAGCAGCCGCTCAAAGGGCTGCCATACAATGGGGAAAGATAGGTGGTGGTGGTGGGATTCGAACACAACCCCGGGGTGATAATTTGGTGACGTTACCACCGGGCCACTACCGTCTTTCCGAGAGCCCATTACATGCTGACTTTTTATGGAAATAGCATAAAACGACCTACTCAGAGCTTTCTTGCGATAATTACCTTCATTAATATTATGATTTTCACTTGCGATATATTGAGCAAATTTTTAAACGGTGTGAACACGAATGAGAAACGGATTTGTAGTTGGTACTACTACTACTACTTCTACTACTATACCTTACCGAATTTCGTTCCCAGATGTTTAGGCATTTGCAGCCATGAAGTGTGCGTCGTTACGATAACGACTCACTTGAATGATAGTGAAATGAAGAGATATAAATCATATGATANCTAAGAGGTCTGAAACAAAGTAATTTGAATAATCCCGTAGGTGAATGATAATAATCCTATACCGTTTCTTTATTTCTCTATTCTATTGTATACGACACTTTGAGATTCGATTTTACAAATAGTGAGCGGGTAATTCAAATCTGCTAGGGTAAATAAAGAACCGTCGAAGATGACGACGGTGTGGTGTGAACCATGATTTGCTGGTAATTTGTCCCGCCTGATGATCAGCACCAAAATGATCTGTGATCAGCCTGGAGGGGAAACTTAACCGTAAAGATCCGCCGTGTTACTGCGTGCTTTTCAGAACTCGACCAGCCTATGTTAAAGATACTACGCGGGATGGTACGGACAGGATAATCAACTTATTTGCCCATATAACTTTCGCAAGTTGACAAATTTAATTCTGGTTAGTGTTCTATTTTCGATCGAAAAGAATGCGATCTATGAATGGAACCAATTTCATTGGCATAATTCCTCGTTGTGTTCATTGCCAGGGATAATGGCAGCACATTTGTAATCCGCCCTCCCTATCAAAAAGTTCAGCCGAAATAGTGTGACGAGACCTTCTTCATTGTTTTTCAACTAGTATGCAAAATGCCAAAATCTCAGATATATTTTATGACCCACCGATGCTCATCGATTCGTAGGAGAATATGGTGAATAGACTCAAATGATCCTCAGTGTACGTCCACCACGGTGGATCTGCGCTGTGAAAGCCACATTACTGAAATGCGATTCTCTTATATTATTAACCGTCGAGTCGTAGTGTTTTGATAGAGCACCCGAATCCGCACTATTTTGATCGAGTTTTTTTTTATTACACACTCACGAGTGATGAACAGCAGACGAGGCGAACCCCATAGTCACGAGGACCTGCTATTCGGTGGTTGAAACCGGCAACCTAGGCCCTGGGACTTGGAGTGCAAACCACATAAGGCCCCGATAGGTTAGGTTGAATTGCTTCTTTAGTTACCCTTGGATGCTGACTGAGTCCTTTGGCAAGCCGTCGGCTTAACAGCCGGTTGAAGAGCTCTGCTTCAAAGGTGGATTTGCAGTTGTCCATTAAAAAGCGATACTGGAATCCGTTTCTAGCTACTTAGCTACAGCGCAGTCAGAATCTGTCTCGTATCAGAGAACCGTCAACGTCTAGAGATGTAGAGCAGGAGTGGCAACCTGGAATAGATTACCGCTAGTGACAGGAATGTGATCGATTTGATTATAAAGCGAGGGGCACATGGAGAGCGAAGCGTAAGGATGAGGTTGAGCATGACGCAGTGTGACAATTGAAGTGGGATCGTGTGTGCGTTATTGAGATACAGCACGCGTCCATATTGAAAATTTGAAGGTTTAAGCTCAGACGGCTAGTTGACCGTGTACAGGCATTGAAAGAAGCTGGGTGCAAAGATCTGGTTTCATCAATCCAGAAGCCTATTAATTGCATACCCTACTAGTTAAAGATACATCTGAATGGCAGAAGCACGAGGAAACTGGTGTATTTCGAGCACTCGGCTTTTGTGTATTTCGCAGAATGGTGATTAAAATCATCACATCTTATTACCAAACCAAACAAAGGTATAATCTAAGCTCAATGCACATGAGAGTAAAGCAACATGTAGATTCCGGAATACCCCCATTATGACAGGAGAGAACATGTTAAAGGTGAACAAACGTTCGCATCGGTCTTGTGAATCCAACATATAATAATTAAGAAATCGCTGTCATAACTTTAAGCTTTCATTTTTTTTGTCCCATTCTGTACCATTTTGATTTAGCACACTCCACAGGTTTGTATGAGCAATCACAAACAAGGTTTGGCCGCAATCGACTGCCTCCAAAATTACAGGAAACAAGCTCTTGTGAAGCTGGGAAACAAAGCGCATTTCCAACCGCGGGAAAACAACATTTCAGATCAAACACGAACGAGGGTCTTGGAACCAAATGAAGATAAACAGTCTGCGTGTGAAACGCGACCCGAAAGTCCAAAGTCGATCACCTATGTAGAAGTTATTGACTGGAATGAGTCACAATCTATGCTCGATGATCCAGAACGCCGCAGAATGAGTTGGCCTCGAAATACAGAATTACACCAAGGTTTAACCGATCCAACAGTTCCCTCTATCTCACTTGAGAGGCCCCCAATCCTACTTAGTTGTTGTTACCGAACCCAACGCAGCCACTGGATGTCACATATTTGCTGAGATGTATGTGCACTTTTCCTATTAAAGTCATGCTCACCTCATAATAGTCATGTGGATAAACTCTTTGGTTTGCAAACGGCTGACCAAGAAGTATGATACAATTACTCATGCTGTAATACAATCCCAGATGACAACCCATTTGGAACAAAAAAATCTCATAACATCAAGATCTTTTGAATATTCTGTTGCAAAAAGTAATTTCTGATATGAGAATCAAATATGAAACCTCAGTTGGGTTTGTTGGAATAACGGGAGTTAGGGAAGCTTAACAAAAACATGATTACTTTGAAGATGGGTTAAGAAACCCGCCAGAAACAAATGAGATACCTTCTTTGGATACAATACCGTGCGGGTTCAGAATGACGGTTCGATTGAGTGGAATGAACTGCAAATTCGACGTTGACGCTTCTGATTTTTCCCTTTCTGGTTTCTGACGATATTTGAGTACAAGTTGAGGATCATCACGACGTACCAAGCTCTTCTTCAGACCCAAACCACTGCGTTGCATCACAGTTTCAGGCTTATCGAATACAGTGCGAATGTAGACCGATTTCACACCCTGACCAGGATTGATGGAGTAATTCACACAAGGGGGACCATAGTAGCCAAGCCCAGGTCGGTTTCTCGAACCCAATGTCTGCTCATTCACTTCAATCGGACATAAAAGGCCCTTTCGCGCAACGTTTTGTGTGGTATCCGTGGGTCCAAGTCGCGACCCTGGATTCCAGCCCATGCGCAACATAAGGCTGTGACCATAACCCTTTATCAAAGGGAGATCGAAATATTCCAAAAAATGATTAATTGAAAATATGATTCTAAACCGGAGAACGGTCAATATTCGGATTAAAAAAGGATTCAAACAGAGATCAGTGTCATTCAAGCACGTCCGGGAAGGACGTGAACAATGACGGAATTTACACCTATGTCACGGGCATTACAAGCCGGATACTTCTGGTCTGTATTAAACTGATTTGTTAACCATCGATTTCGGCGACCTAATGGTAGTGGATGGCAATCAGGATTTATTGTTATGTATCGAAAACTCTAGAAGCTGGTTATTTGTTTCAAAACTACAGCTCCACTAACATCTCGAATAACCATTAAACTTGCATTTCCATGATTCGGTTTGTTTTGCTAACCTGGCCAATCACTGAAGAGGGGGATAGGATCAGAGGAAAGAAATCGCAATGTGAAAGAACTACATGTGTACGGAAAGCGAGCGAATAGAAGAGCGAAAATGTTCGTGACACTCATTCATCCTTCATAACACAAAGCAGTGAAACCAAACCTGAGGAGCGCTGGTTAGGTACAGTTTTCATGGTGTTTTTACCTCCATGCTAATTCATAGTCTAAACTAAACTAGCCAAACTAAATTTCTATTTCAAGAGCCAACCAGTGTGAATGTAAGCTTTAGGGCTTAGACGTGGGACTTACCAGCCCAATAGGCACAAGGGAAATTTTTACTGTGTAAATTCGAAACACGATCCGAATCTAAAGCTACTTACTGCCAAAATTTAATGCAATTCATACCATAAATATGTATGAAGAGTTGAGAAATGAACTCCTAAAATAACTTATTTTTTGTTTTATTGCATTCAGTGCACATTTAGCTTCACTGCGGTTGTATCTGGAAGAGTAGAGGTGCATGGTGCGGAGTGCTTCCAAAGGTTACAGATAGGGCAACGGCCACCAACTTGCAGCTAGCCGCTAGTCTAGCGGGTCCAAACAATCAGCCGTAGTGCTTCAGGATGTGCTAGGCCCACTACTTGGGAAACGTTCTACACACAAAACATTCCACATATGGAGGGACAGGAGTTTATCGTGGTGAGTGCGTCCAGACACAAAACACGACCACTGCCCTTTGTGGAGTATCTTACTAAACAAAGTTCTTGAGAACAGGTGAACCACTGGCCTACCTAAAACAAAATGGCTGCTTTGCAGACCACACTACAGTACGCAAAGACTAGAGTGCACATCCCAACAGGGTCTACTCTAGGCCAAGCAACAGCCCACAGCGCAGACAGTCATGAACTCTCTGGACATTATATACCAAGCTGCTCTGATCTTTTTGGAAAGCTTTGCTAATCCGACTTTCTTCATTTTGCCCCGTATCCTCCTGCAATCATTCCCATGGGGAAACGCTAACAACTGTACTAACATTAGTGCCTCAGATGGAAATCTTGCTCCTTTTCTCTCCCATTCTACCTCGACTAGCGCCCGATTCTCACCGAAACCTCCTAGGCCGGCTGAAGACCTCCGTTTTCGACGCCTCCGCAACTTAACCACATTTAACGCACAAACCCTGGATATTAAGCTCGTACGATCAAGACCCTGGCCATCAACGTGTGGTGTATCCTATAGACTAGTATCCAAGACCAGCTCCAACATCCAACTGACGCTCACATCCAACCACTTCGTGAAGTGTCAATTACGGCATTCTGGTAACCTTGAGGCTTCAGCTTCTGGTCTCGCTGGTATGGCTCTTAATGGGAAAACTAGAGCCATATTACTAGAATAGATCCCAGTCGATAGTCGGTTGTACGCAGTGAGACTTGAAGGTTCGTGCAAAGTAAGCAGTTGCCACCCCGAAAAACGACACTTGTTTGTCGCCTCGGCATCCACACCCACGGACTGCAGCCCGCATGCGGTCACAGATACATCTCACAAAAAACTAGAGGACCTTTTGCACAAAGCGAGTCGAGCTGATATTGTGATTCTAGCAAGATATACAAATGCTGACGTAGGTACGCCATCTTCAATTGATGAACATTTGGGATAGAATTCTATCGCTCCGTCAAGGGGAAACGACTGTGGCTCTATGTTCTGACCATTGCCAATTCCTCGCCAGTGCGAACTTTAGACGCTCTCGCCACTTTGCCTTTACCCTTCTCCAGTCAGCAACCTACCCAGGTCGATCACATCGCAGTCTTGACATTCCGGATTTTCGATGAATTTGTGCGCATTCTTTACGCACGCCGATCGATCCCGGGTAGTAGCAAACATAATGAAGCACGCTTCGTAACGTGAATCTTAGCCCTGGAACTCCACGAAGCACTGGGCTCCGACCGCCTTTCCCAGCTCTATGTAAAAATTGTGTAGTAAAGCATGTTAGAGAAAGAGGTTCTGTTTTCTTAAATTTGGAACATCGATGAATTTCCCAAGCCCGGAGTCACAATTGCAAATAAAGCTCATTGCGGCTGGACATGCGCAACACGTATGCTAACCAGCGAAGCCAACGCACGTACACCAAGTTACCAGCGCCAAACTGCGAAAGCATCGATCTTTCGAAAACCTCTAGTCAATGAATACCTTCAAATCTCAAATTCAAGGTATCACAAATGCGGAGCAGAACCGACCGAACGGTGGCACAACACACGAGACCAGTTAAACACCAATCAAACGTCACGCCGAGAACCAAGGTGCTTCAGCTTTCCACACGCTGCTCAAGTTTCGAGTTCACGTCTTAGATGCCACCTACTCCCGTTTTGATCCAGTTTTGTCGGGATTTTCCCCTTGCTCCCCACCCGGGCTACTGATTTGTGAGACATCCTTTTGTACTACACAACGTGAATTACAGTACAAGGGGAAGTTCCCATGGACAAACAGCATACTGTGAAGGGGAGAGTAGGGTAACATTCACGTAAGATCCGGTTTATTGATTCTGTGTTAAAGAAATGTAAGATTGTAAGTTGGGGGGAAAATAGCAAGTGGGAGGGTGTTCCACAGCTTGGCAGTTCGGGGGAAAAAGATTACAGCAGAGAAGCAAGAAATCTGGGAACTGAAATCTGATAAGGATGACTAGATGCCTGTGTACGGGATGGGCAGGTAAAAGTTGCAGGAAGAGGAATTACCAACGCAAGTTCTGAAGAACAAAAACCAAAGTAGTAGCGGTAGAAGAGGGACAATGAAGCAACTGCTCGACGATGGGCCAGAGACTGCAGACTGGATCATCGATTAGCCGGATGGTCTTTCGTTGAACACGATCAAGAACGGAAAGGGAAGAAGACGAAGCCCCACCCCACACGTGACTACAGTAGTCAAGAGCAGGGCGGATTTGAACTTTGTACAATAGAAGAGGAGCTGGGGTGAAAGACGTCTGGCGCGAAATAGAAATGCAACCTTTCGCGCAGCACGAGAAGCAAACTTAGCTATAAAAGGGGACCAGCATAAAGAAGTTATGAACAATCCAAGAAGGGACAGTCTATGAAACGTAGTTGGGTGGAATTAAAAGATAAAATGGGGGAAGAGTGAGTGGTGTTTTAAAGA